TTTCAGCAATTCTTTTTAATAAATATTAACTGCATCCATCACCAATACCTAATGTGTAAATCCTAAAATTAGTTTTTGTTTAATTTTAAACCAAATTTAAAATTCTTTCTGGAGAATCTTCTCCATCAGTCAACAGAAAAGCATTAAATGTTTCTTAAGGACTTTTAATATCTTCATCATTATAGATGCCATTCTTTAAAGCTTCAAATATGTCAGTTCCTCCTAAATCTGCATCCATAATATTTACTAATTAGATTGCCTAATTTAGTGATTATTGATTATAATATTCTGGTTTTTCAAACATTCTTTATGATTAGCTCCCAAAAGAAATCACATTAAATAAACAATCTTCTGGTAAACTTTTTAAGAATAAAACCAAAGATTGTTTTGCTTTATTTATTCTTTACCCATCCATCGAACCACTTCTATCTATAAAAAAATAATAATTTCCTCTATTTGCTTTTGTTTCTGAAGATAAATTTAATCCGTTTATGTAAGATGAATAAGCATCATCTAAAGATACTTCATTAAATTTTGGAATCAATGTTAAAGTGGCACAATATTTAATATGTTGTAAAGCATCATTATTAGTATGAGTAAGAAATGAATGAGGTTAATTGATATCATCAGAAGAAAATAACAGTTCAAATTTTTTATTTGGAGAAAAGTTTTCTTCACATTTATTATCAAGTATGATTACTTAACTTCTTGTTAAGTTTTCTTTCGCAATTTAATGATCTTCATTATTAATTAATATTTTATGGGTTGGAGATTATACAAATGTTATTGGTTTCTATAAATTAATTTATATTCTAATATTTTATCGATAGTTTTATTAGAGACCTTGAAAATCCACACTTTATTATATTTATTTATATAATTAAGGATAATTGGCTGATTAATTTTTTAATTAATGAGCTGTAAGATAGCTGGAATCCACAATTGGAGATAATTCTAGTTTCCAAAATTAATTTAAATACACTTTTACAGGTTAAATATATTCAAAAGTAATTTTTAAAGATTTTCCAGGAGCTAAACACCCAATCTTAACTTTTTTTAAATCTGTTATTTATTTATCCTATTAGCTTATGACCATAGTTTTTCCATCCTGTATGCCTTCTTAATACTCTTTTTTTGCTTCCTCTAGTTCTTTAACTATACCTAAAATTTTTAAATTATCTAATTCAACTATCATTTTACTCACTGCTGAGTCCTTCTCGATAGTAAACATATATTCTAATTCAATTGGAACTTCATAATGCTATGTGTTATAAACTTATTATATTTCAACTATCGCTAAGCCAGGTTAGACATTTACAAAATAATTTACCGATTCTAGTGATATTGGTAATTTATTTTAAACATCATAACAAATAAATAAAGGAGGAGCTTTAATCTCAGAGAAATCTTCTTCATCTTGATGCAGAGACTCACAAATATTTGGATGATACATTATGATTAATATCACTAATATTCCTATTGAATCATTCTTTTATATTAAAAAATGAGACTTAATTAATCAGAATTAATCAAGAAGATATTATCCTTATTATTGAATTATAATTTTATTAATATATA